TAAGCTTATTTTTAATGAAAATTGAGTCTCCTCTCCAGTCGAAGTATTCTGCCCATCGAGACGAGACTACTGTGATTCCTAACCTATTTGCCAGTTTTAGTACCTGAGCTGAGAAGTTTTTTAAGCATTTAAATGATCGCGGAATTTCATCAGTTAGGATATTGACAGGTTCCCAGTTCTGGATCTGTGCTTGTTTTAGGCAAATCAAGGTAGATAAGCTGGCAGGTCCTGTATCACTTAATCTGTTCATTAAGTTGGAAATCTGATTCTCTGCTTGGATTTCCTCTATACTTTTGATGTTATAGATTTTTTTGTGGTGTATGGCCGAATTGGGAATTGTTGAGACTAGTCCTGTTGCCTATTTTAGAACCCTTCTTAACTGAGTCGATAGGTTATTGCAGATGTATTGATCTAAGAAGCAGTGTTGCATCCGGTATTCTATTCTGAGGATTAGAACTCTGTTTATGATGTATTCTGCGTGTTTATCTGTAATTTTCTTTCTTTTGAGACAGGAGACAACTGCTGTAATTTCTTGTTTGAGTCTATATATCATATCTTTTGTGTATCTTTTATTCCTAATCCATATTTCAAGAAAGCAGGTGAAGCTATTGTGATCATTCTCGATGACTTCTTGTTGGTTCAGGCCAATTTTCACAGAGTTTGGTCCTTTGCTGCCACTGTTGATAGTAATCAGGACTGATTTGTTGCCATTGATTTGTGAGTCGTTTGCTGCATAGAACCACTTGGCTCTTTCTAATATATTTTCCATGTCTTTTTCAGATCTGACAATCCATGTTGTATCATCCATATATGCTATCGCAGCTTGTCGCACCGAAATTTGCTGTGGAGTATCGTCCTTATTGAGGTTGATTCTCCATTTGCAGTTCATGGTATATTCTAGTTTTGTATTGTCTTGAATTTCACATAGTAAAGGGTCATAGAAGATACGCCATAGAAGAGGGGAGATCGTTTCTTCTTAATCTATTCCATCCCCAGCAATTATTTTTTTTGTTATTCCCACGTCAGTAATTACTTGAAGAGATCTGTCCTTGAATGGTTCCAGGATTAGTGCTGCTAGTTAAGCTGGGATCTTGATTCTTTGTAATGCTCTTTGTAACATTTCTAGATTGATCGTGTTGTATGCTTTTGCTGTATCTTGAAACAAAATCCATAATTCTTTCTTTTCCTCCCGTGCTTCTTCGCAGATATTATTTATCAGATGGATGGGCTCTGACATGCTTTCTCCAGGTAGTCCTGCGAAGTAGGGTCCTTTTAGGATATTGTGTATTTTGTATACAGTAGATAGTCAGTTGATGATGATCTTGGTAAAACATTTTCGGAAGACATCTAAAAGTACTATTGGTCTAGTATTACTTAGAATGCCCTGCCATTCTTTGCCCTTTGATATTGGATAAAGAAGACTTTCTTTTCATGTTGAGGGAATTACATTGTAGGCTAAGTATATGTTCATAAGTTGGTATAAAGTTTTTCTTCCAACTGCTCCTAGTCTTTTAAGCATTTCGTATTTGATCTTGTTAGGTCCTGCTATTTTGTCCTTTGGAAGATCTTTGAGAACATCTTTCAGTTTGGTTTCACTAATGGTATTCTTTGTATTCTTATACCATTCTTCCTTTATTTCAGCTTTAGAAGCATACTGGTTCTTCCATTTGTCATCCAACAGCTTAAAATTACTGTTTTGCTTCTTGAAAACACCTTTGTAATATGCCTCAGTTTGGCGCAGGATTTTCTCTTTGTCTATTGACATATATTCTCTTCCCTGATCATCTTGAACCTAGATCCTGTCTATGATTATCTTGTCTCTGAAGTTATTTGTCAATCCTTGTACTACTTTTCTCTGGTTTTCTTTGAGATTTCTACATCTCTCTTGGATTGCTTCTTTGATTTCAAAGTTTATTCGGTTTCTTTCTTCACTAAGGCAGATTTTTTTTAGGGAGATAGCTATTTCTCTAAGCTGGGATATCAGCATGTGTTCTTTTTTTTCTTCCTCTAGTATTATTGTAAACTTATGTATAGATTCAAGAACTGGTGCTATCAGTGCAATGTTTTGATTGATTTTCTTAAGTTCCTTCCATAGCTTTTGTTTTAGCACTGGTCCCTCCCCAGGATCTTTTAGTTTGGTCCAGGTGTTGAGTATCTTGTTCACCAAACGGTAGCTGTAAAAGGCTAGCTGTTCTTTACAATTTTTCTTTTTGTTTTGAGGCTTGATTCTTCCTCTTGCCATTCTCTTTTTACAATATAACTGATTGAAAGCTATAGATATGAGGACTTTTTTGAACAGCTTTCAGGATTCTTGGATTAGTTGATTTCGTCTGTTGTCATTGATTTGATTCGAGTTCATAGTCTGAATCTGATATGAAATATTGCTTTGCTGAAGTTTTTGGTCAACTTTTTGTGTATACTTTTTCCATTGGAAGTCTGTTGTTTTGTTGATATTGATTATCTTTTCTCTAGGTAGTTTTGGTATGCTTGTACTCATCTGATGGTCTTTGAGTATGGCACTTCATGCTATTTGGAGGATTAGCACAGTATGGTCACTATTAATTATTGAACGGAAGTTTATATTGCTAAAGTGAAACATGTTGTTTGCTATACTATAAGATCCCCAAATATAGTCGATCCTACTAGAGCTTGATTTGTTCTTCCAAGTGTGTGAAGTCTCAGTTGGTTTCCATAGTTGTTGTAAGTCTGAGAGGTTCCAGTTGTTCATGTAGTCAAATAGTTCGATTTCTGGGTTATCCGATCTGGAAAATTCTGTTGTACTATTTAATGACTTACGGTCTGTTTTGGGATTTACTGTGGCATTGAAGTCACCCATGATAATGATTTCATAATTTCTTCGTGAGTATACTTGCAACAGATCTTGTATTTTCTTCTGCAATGCATGGCTCTGTCTTTTGTCACTGGGTAGGTACTGTATATTTGTGCAATCCATGTTTTATATCCTTTGTTTAGGAGGTTGATTGCTATTAGGTGACCTTCAATCTTATCTATGGATGCTATGTATTTCTCAATATTTTTACAAATTAATAATGAAACTCTGCACTCCTGGGGTTGTTTGGTTCTGTGCTTGAGAAGCACTTGTATTGTCTTTGATCTGCAAAAGCGAAGTGTTGGTGTTCTTTCGCAAGTTTGGTTTCACATAAGCCCATTATGTCAATTTTTCTTTCCAGCAGTTCCATTATTAGGTTGGCTTGATCCGTCTCTCGATTGATTCCTTTGATATTGTATGTACCTATTGTTATGTGTGGTGTTTGATTGTTGTGATTATTTGAATTTGTTGATGTAAGGTTTTTTTCTTGGCTTTTGTTTAGGAATAGTGTTTTTTGATTAGATAAGAACTCGTCTATATATATAGTATCATCTGTATTACTCAATATTGCTGAAGAGGTTAGTTGTGTTGATGATACTTGTCGTGTGTTGAAAGGGTCTTGTTCTTTAGCAATGATTGTAGTTTCAACTGGTGTGTCTATTTTAGGATCTATAGTAGGATTTTTTCCTACTATTATGATCTTCTTCTAACTTATATAGGTACTCGTTAATTCTTTCCAGTACTTTTTGGATCTGTTGCCAGGAGGAGTTTTCTTCTCTTGATTTGCTACTGTTACACTTTCTGTTTGTGGGTTTCTTGTGGGATGTTCTAGTCTTGCTGGATTGTTTCATTTTTATGTCTGAGGATTCTTCCTCTTTTGAGATAATACTCATATTATCTTCTTCCTCTGTGTCTGGCCTCTTGGAATTTGTGTGTTTTGTATGTTTGCTTTCTCGAGCCTTGTTATTTACTTTGGTAGTGATCTTTGTATTGTCTTTTGTACTTCACCAAGTTTTGCTATCAAAAAGTTCTACGTAAGATCTCAATGCTTTGTTCAGGTCTTCAGTATTGAAAAATCCTAAAATGGCGAAGCTTCTTTTTCTTCCTGTTCTGCTATTTGTTGATATATGTACAGTTTTGACGTTGAGGTGTTTGGTTGCACTCATTATTTTGATAGCTGAGGCTTCCTTGCTTATACCATATAGCCTGGTCGTGATGTTGTTTCATCGTGCCAGGGTTTTGATATAGTTTTGATATGGTACGATTCTTGCTATTGTTGTTTCCATTGGTATTGCCCATGTTTTCTTTAGATTTATTAGTAATGTTGAGAATGTAACTCTTGCTAACTTGAAGTTGTTGTTGCCATTCTCCATCTGTATATATGAGATTGTTTCATATTTGGCTATGGCACCTTTGAGTCTCTTGATTGAGAAGTCAAAAGGTATGTTCATAATAACAACCTTTTCCATGTCCCTTGTGGTATCTGGAGGGTTTTCATCTTCAGAGGAGGTCATGTTGCTTGATTCTTCTTCATGCAGGGTTTGGATTGTTATTTGGAGTTGATGGATTAGAAGTTTTTTCTTGCATTTCAACATGTTATTGGATTTTTGGAAGTGTAGAACTGTCCATTTGCTTTTTTCTATGGCCCTGACTTGAATTCTTTTGTGGGATATGGGAACTTTGAGAAATCCGGTAAGGTTCTGTAGTTGTTCTATTCTATTTTTGCCAAGAATGATACTGCATTTGATTCTTAGTTGGTATGGACTGTTATGTTCTGATAGGTTGAATCTGTTATATTCAGGGGTACTTTTTTGGGTGTATTTTTCATGTTTTGTTTCTATAGGTGATACCCTGTTGGATTGTTCCAGGATAATAAATTTAAAGCCCTCTTTTCCTTTGCCAAGCTTAGTTAGGCATTTCTCCATGTCTTCTTCAAGTTGAAATTGAATGGCATACCATCTATTTCTATTTATAAAGGGTGTTTGGATAAGTTCGTGCTTATTCTTGGATAGTCGAAGAAGGTTGGCAATATATTTGATTTGCTCTTCTTTGAAATCACCTGGCATGTTAGCTACGAGTGCTCCTATTTTAAAACCATCTGATTTGCTGACAAAGAAAGGATTGATAGGTGTGTATTTCCTATTTCTTGTATAATAGCTTTGGACTGATGTTATACAGCTCCCTAGTGGTGTATAGGTTGGTGTTTTTTCCTCCTCTTTCTCAAACTCTGATACTATCTCCATTTTTAAGTGGTTGGGGACTTCTTCTTTTGTTAATGTGGGGTTGTCCTTGGGGTCTTCTTCCATTTGTGAAGCTTCACTTTGTATTGTTATAGACGCAGTGTTGTTGGGTTCTATATGTTCTTGTAGAGGGTACGTATGGTCTTCAACATGTTGTTCTTCTTGTTGATCAGAGGATCTTGCTGGTTTGATGATGTTCAGTATTTGCTGGATCTGTTGTGGATCCTCTATTATGTATTTGTTCAATATTTCAGCTTCGAGATTATTGTGTTTCCAAATTTGCTCTATATATTTTTTGACGAGTGCCCATTTTACTGCTGTTGAAGTGTTGATATTGAGTAGTTTAGCTGCTACTGTGTCTAAAACTGTGATATTTATTATTGTCCCAAGTTCTATAAGTTCTGAGGAGGAGTTGTTGTAGTTGTCTTCAAGAAGTGATTTAATCCATTGCTAATCATGAGTATCATGATTATCTTCCAACATTCTTAAGTACTCAATGATCTGATTTTCTATTGGTTGTTGGATATTTGTTTCTGATTGCATGTCAGACGCATGTTGTTGATATTGTTGATCCATGGATTCTGTATGTTACTTGACTGAGTGTTGACACGTTTTGCTTATAATTTGATTAGGAAAAGTTGAAAAGACATATGTCTATTTCCAGTTTAGTTGTCGTCTGTTTGTTTATTTGTTGTTGTTTTTGGGTGCAAAATATAATTGAACCTTAATTTTGAATTCTGTAAACAGACGTGTTTGTTTTTCTATTTTGAATGTGAGAAAATGTACTCGCGTGTTCGTGTTACTGCTGATCTTTTGATGAGGGTAAACTGGTTTTGGTTTTTTCAGTTCCAGTGCAGATCAATCCGCGTAACGCTTGTTGTTTATATTGTAAAATTTTTTAGATCTTTTGTTTTCTTCTAAACACAATGTTTGAGAAAGTCTTGGTACCCTTCTGGTTTTGTATCAGTGGTGAGGTTGCCTGGTTTACCGGGTGTGATCTGGCTGATACAAGGCCCTACTAGTGACTAGAGGAGGTATCT